ATTGTTAAAGTTAAAGAGTTCTTTTTTTTCTGTCGCAGTAGCGACGACATTTCTATAACTTAGACCCTGTTTGGCAAAGCAAGTTTTTGCCTAGTTTTTATCATACAATTTTTTTAACAACTTTAACTATAGTAACTTTAAAAAACTTTCCAAAGTTTTTAAAAAACACATTTCAAAAATACCAAAAAATAAAAAAAAATTTCCTTCTTTCTTTTTTTCTTCTTCCTCCCCCACATCAACTCACCACCACCTCTGGCGTCAGTCACCTCTTCCGACGCTGGCCATCTCTTTCGGCACCGACAGAGGCTTTTTTTTGGTTTTTTTTCTCTTCTCCCTCTCCCTCTCCCTAATCTATCCTATTTTACAAGGAGGGGTAGTCTAAAGAAATTATATAAAATGTGAGCATGTATATAGACTTGACTACATCAAAAGGTGCTCTGATGTCTCATTCAAATTTTTTTCACTGCAGATAGGTTCGAACCTTCAATCTATAACCCAAACAAGAATATAATTCCTATTTGATAGCCACGGAATTTTGGGTTAGTAGTTAGTTAAAGAGTTTCAACTTCTCAAAATTCGACAAGTCCAAAAAAAATATATTAAAGAGGCTTGGGGTCAGACATGAGGCTTGCGCTTAAAAAAGAATAAAGTTAAAGAGGAAAAAAATGTTAATAAAAAGCAACCAGATTAGTAGTTTCAATCTCCAATCCCACCACAGCGCGTGGTCCACACAACCCCAATCACACTACAAACAACGTTGAAAACGTTAGTACTTCAAATTTACCCCCTCTCGTCCGTCCCCCACATAATTAGGAGGAGGATGGTGACTTGATACTAATTTAGCTCAGCTGAGCTTTGCAGAACCTCCCATTGGGTCCAGAACCAATTTACCAACGCGTGTGGCTCTGTTATTGCCGTTGATTCATTTTGCAGCCACCTCATTTTTGTCCCCAAGCTGCCTTAATTTTTGTTAAGATAATAGCAATTCTGATTCTGAAAACCAAGAATCAGAATTGCTATCATTATAGCAATTCTGCCTTGCTATGATGATTCTTGGTTTATTTTAACAGCATCAACCATTGTGAACTTTGCAAAAAGTACATCCTTTATTTTGTTTTGAGATTTGTATTATAATACACTATATTTGCAAAAGTTTGTTGCTTACATGTGCTTTTGATGTGCCCCCTCCATCTCCCTCTTCCTTGACATCTACAGCATGTCTCTCCATTTTTTGGCCATCTTCTTTTTTGGGTTGAATATGTAACAAAAGCCAAAAGGGCGTGCCGTGTCTTTAAACGAATAACAGGTTGTTTTGATTACAGACAGCTCTTCAAATTTATGGCTTCTTCTAGTTTTAATGGATGAGAGCAAAAGGTGGAGCTTTCTTCATGGCCAGGTAAATATCTTGCCTTTTTCTAGTTTTATGTGAATTCAATCTTTCTAGTTGTATTCCATTCGCGAAAGTAAAAGCTTTATAAATAAACAAAGTAGAGATTGAAAAGAAAAAGGAACTCACCATATTGATTGGTGGTCTGTGGCTTTTTAGGAAGATTCGTTCATGGCGGTAAAGGTTCTGTTGTTGCATCATGTACGATGATCATTGAATATCAAGTTGTACGAAATAGTAATTCATTGGCTATGTGCAATTTGATTTGAGGATGGAAACATATTTTTTGAATTTATTTTTCTCTTTCTGTTGCAGGATGTTGATTTCAGGTTGATACTAGATATGGAAGGTGGAGAACTAAAGTTTCTATCTATGATGATAAAAAAGATATATGAATGAACCCTGGCTTTCTCAGTTGCTTGTATTCAATTTTGAGGAAAAATGCGATTGCTGATTTGGGTTTTTGAGGGGAAGAAGAAGAGGTTTTATGAGATTATAGATTAGTGAAGGGCTAAGGAGAGCTATCTTAGGTGGTTGATAAAATGGAGGGAATGGCAGAAAAGGCTGAACAGCCGACCACGACACCCCGGAAAAAGATGACGAAACAATTGACTGGGAAACGCGATGACACTGCATTGCATTCTGCTGCAAGAGCTGGAAATCTTAAAGCAGTATGGGAAATTATCCACCAGTCATCGGAGGAAGAGTTAATAGAATTGTTGTCAAAGCAAAACTCAGCTGGGGAAACGGCATTATATGTTGCCGTGGAATATGGTTATCTAGAGTTAGTGAAGGAGATGATTAAGTACTATGATCTTGCGGCCGCCGGGATCAAAGCAAGGAATGGTTTTGATGCACTACATATAGCCGCCAAACAAGGGGATTTGGGTATGCCTCACTGCTAAAGTTCTTGTCCTATTTTTGTGGTGCACATCTTTTGCAAAATTTATCTTACTTTTACATGTTTCCAGATATCGTGAAGGTCCTAATGGAGGCTCATTCAGAGCTTTCCATGACAGTTGATACTGCAAACACTACAGCTCTGCATACTGCTGCAACTCAAGGACACATTGAAGTGGTAAATTATCTATTGGAGCTGGAGAGTAGCCTTGCTGCTATAGCTAGAAGTAATGGGAAGACTGCCTTGCATTCTGCAGCAAGAAATGGGCATGTGCACGTTGTGAAGGCCCTTTTGAGTAAGGAGCCTGGAATTGCTCCACGAAATGATAAGAAGGGACAGACAGCACTTCACATGGCAGTCAAAGGACAAAATCTTGAAGTGGTGGAGGAACTGATTAAAGGAGATCCTTCACTGATAAATATGGTTGATAATAAGGGCAATACTGCGTTGCATATAGCCACAAGGAAAGGGAGGGCACAGGTGAAATAAGCTTTTCTTTCTAGATTAGTCATGAATGGCTTAATTGTTCTGCTGATGTTTTAATGGTTAGACAATTTTAGGTTTTTTTCACCTCGTGGTTTCTCATTGACCATATGCATCTATCTGCTGTGTATTTGATTCAAGCACAGAAAGTAAGAATTTCAGATGAATGATTGAAATGAAAAAGACGCAAGAGTGCTGATGATGAGTATTATAGAACCTAATAATACACTTTCGTTGGCAACCTGAGAGAGAATTTTAAATCATATGCATTGACATGAAGCCTTGTATCTGGTACCCAATAATACGTTCCATTGCATCAGAATAGTGTAATTCGGTCGGAGCTACTAAAAGAGTTATCTAGACATTGATTCAGTACGCAATATTATTCAGAAAGATTCACTGGTTGCAGCGATTGATCATAATTCTTATCCTACTTGTGCAGATAGTTCGGATGCTTCTAGCACAGAACGAAACCGACATAACAGCTGTAAATAGGTCTAGTGAAACAGCCCTCGACACTGCAGAGAAAACAGGGCAAGCTGATATTGCATCCATCTTGCAGGAGCATGGTGTTCAGAGCGCCCGGACGCTCAAGCCTCAACCAACAAATCCAGCAAGAGAGTTGAAGCAAACCGTGAGTGACATAAAACATGAAGTGCACTACCAGTTAGAACATACCCGTCAAACCAGGAAACGCGTGCAAGGCATTGCCAAGCGCCTTAACAAGATGCACGCTGAAGGCCTTAACAATGCAATCAATTCCACGACGGTTGTAGCGGTGCTCATTGCTACTGTGGCCTTTGCAGCCATTTTTACCGTCCCTGGCCAATATGTGGATGACCCTAACAATATCCCACCTGGCCAATCGCTTGGGGAAGCTAATATTGCACCCCAAGTCCCCTTCATAATCTTTTTTGTCTTCGACTCAATTGCCCTGTTCATTTCTCTTGCTGTTGTGGTTGTCCAAACCTCAGTGGTCGTTATAGAGAGCAAGGCAAAGAAGCAGATGATGGCTATCATAAACAAGCTTATGTGGTTAGCTTGTGTGCTCATTTCAGTGGCTTTCTTGGCACTGTCATTTGTCGTAGTTGGCCAGCATGAGAGGTGGCTGGCAATTGGAGTGACTATTATAGGAACCACGATTTTGGCTACCACGCTGGGCACGATGTGTTATTGGGTGATTATGCACCGGATAGAGAGCTCAAACAAGAGGAGCATCCGAAAGAACTCTCAGGCCAGCAGATCAAGGTCTTGGTCCATGTCAGTTTTATCAGATTCAGATGTTCTCCATACTGACTTTAAGAAGATGTATGCAATTTAAAGAGTTTCCTACCCCATTCCATATTTTCAACTATGGGCCAACGGATGTCCTCCTTCCAAACGATTGTGCATAGCTATGGCTCAATAACGTTTCCAAAGTTTTGATCATCCCCACAGCTGCTTAGTTGGTAATGAATTACTTGAACTAAAGAGATATTGTAAGCTGAAATATGGCGGAGAATGTTACGATCTATACATTAACTTCTATGGAAACATTTACACCGACGTTGTTGAGACGCCAACAACTCATCTGCAACACTTTTCAGTCATTGTCAAATTATGTGCTCTTATCTCCCGCAAAAGGAGACACTATATGGTGCTCAACTTCACCCGCATTTCTATCTCATTTTTTGTTAGAAGTTCTAATGCCATCATTCAACAATCAACTGTACCTAAAAGAAGGTTTTACTAGTAAAGTAAGGCTCTCTTCAATCTCAAGCAACATATGAGAACAAGTTTTCAATAATAAAGAAAAAATAGTGAACTTTTTCATAACGACATTTGCACGTTATGAAAGCTAGCAAAGTAGAGTTTGAGCCCGACTTGACTAATAAGTTAATTGATTTCGAACGAACTCCCGTAAACTCAATTGGCATTTTATCTTCCTCGACTAAATTTCAAAATTTTATTTTTGATAGAATGAATTTGTATTTCAAATTTTAGGAAAACATAAATCTTCAACTTTGTTTATTTTACGATTTATGGAATTAATTAAATATACGTTGGTAACAAAGTATTACAATGCGCTACAAATCAAATTATTATGGGTTTTAAAGTAATAAAATAATAGTTTTAAACAAGAAAATGATAAAAATATCCGACATAGACTTGAAGATTAATTCTCTCTCTTTTTTCTTCAGTCAATGGCCAACAATTTCCTCCTAATGACGAGAGTTTTGACGACTAAGAATGACAAACAAACTGATACCCTTGCATCTGCTACTAACAAATAAATAACCGACCCGACTCCTCTTCTTCAATAGGGAGTCTCATTAATCTCGTTCCCTCTTCCACCTCTGCGTTTAAATCAAAGCTGATCGATCAGAATTTAGAAGCAGTTATTAAAGGTACATAAAAAACATAATTAAATTTTAGAGTGAAAAGAAAAAAGAGAGAGAAATGGACGAAGAACTGCTGGAATTGCAGAGGCAATTTGAATTCGCGCAGCAAGCAAAATCCAGCATTCGTCTGTCGGAGCGGAACGTCGTCGAATTGGTACAGAAGCTGCAACAGCTCGGAATAATCGACTTCGATCTCCTCCACACCACTTCTGGCAAAGAATACATCACTCCTGTACCTTTTTAATCACCATCTCCTATTAATTTTTTACAGTAAAAAACGTCGTCCAATTTTGTCATGTTTCACTTCTGCTTAATGTTGGAGTTTGTTATTTCTATGTGTATTTATCCTTATGTGCATTGATTGAGTAATTTCATCGATTGTACATCCTTCATTTATGGCAAACTGGTGAATATTTTGTTTATTAGCTATTGATAATTGATTTTAATGATTTACTGAGCCAGAAATCGTCTAATAAGTATGAAAACACTTCGGAGAGTTAGTGGATTATGTTATCATCAAGATTTTGGATTATTTAGTTGTACTATTGTAAATTTTTAAGTGTTTTGGTCACTTTGAATAATATTTGTATTGTGAGTTTTCAATAAAAAAACATCTGCGTGAACATACAATTCAGTAGCTGTTTTTTTTTTCTCTAATCTGAAAGTTCAGTATCACCTTGTGGATACTGCATTTGTGCATGATAAGTATAGACTTTTGTCTGAAGTTAGAGAAACTTTATGGTGTAGTGTGAATGTGTAACGAAATTGTAATGTTATTTACAGGAACAATTGAGAAAAGAAATGGCTGCTGAGATTAGGAAGTTAGGGCGTGTTTCCTTGATTGATTTAGCTGATATCACTGGCGTAGATTTGTATCACGTGGAGACACAAGCAGGGCATATAGTGTCCAATGACTCAACGCTTATGCTAATAAATGGAGAGATCATATCAAATTCGTACTGGGATATTGTTGCTGAGGAAATCAATGAAAGGCTTCAAGAATGCAGTCAAATTGTTTTAGCTGAGATTGCTGCACAGTTGCAAGTTGGATCTGAGCTAGTTGTGTCTGTTTTAGAACCTCGACTTGGGACTTTGGTATCATGACACTTTTCTCATTTTTAGTGTTTCATGCCTGTAATCTAGGATGTGGATTTGAACATTGTTGAATTTTGGGGTTTATATAGGTCAAAGGTAGGCTTGAAGGTGGCCAGTTGTACACTCCAGCATATGTTGCACGTGTGAGTGCAATGGTTCGCGGTGCTGCAAGGGGTATTTTTGTTCCAACAAATTTATCAGCATTATGGAACTCATTGCAAGATTTGCTGCAAGAAACAGATGGAGCTAGTGGTGTGGCTGTTGAAGGCTCCTTTTTCCAGTCACTTTTTAATGGGTTGGTAAAGGAGGGTGAGATTCTTGGTTCACTTCGTGCTGGAGTTCACTGGACACCTTCTGTATGTGACGACACTGTTATTGTGTCCCATGAAAAGTCTCTTAGATATTTTCTCCATTTTGTTTGGCTTCATTGAATGTCTTGAATTTTTGTTTATTGTGGTTGGAATACAGGTCTTTGCTATGGCTCAAAAGGAGTGTGTAGATTCTTTCCTTTCACAGGTATGACCAGTCCTTACCACTGTGTACATACAGATTATTCGGTGATATTTCTTAATTTGTTTGTCCAAAAGAAGTGTTAAATCACAGAGTATACATATACGTCACAATATGATAAAGATGTCTTCTTGTTGAGAAACATTGCAAAAAGTGTCCATATTTTGGCAATATCTTTTTGACATCCTTGCTTAGCCCAAAGCCCGGGGGGGGGGGTGGGAGGGGTAAAGAAGAAACTGTTGGACATCCATTCGGATTTATAAGTGGTAACCTAATTGGGTTACTGTGAGTTTCATCTACAATAGCTAATGGAAGGGTATGTAGATAGAGTTTCCTTAGCATCAAATAGTTGTTTCACCATTTTTGTTGATTATTGTTGGGTGTGAATTATATTGGCCACATGGAAGGTATTCTGAACTCTTTGGGAGTTACAACTATGCTGACTCTTATGAGTTGTTAAAATCCTCCTGCAGAATTCTTACATCAGTTATGAAGCTCTACAGAAACTTGGAATTCCACAACCTGTTCAATATCTTCAGGTACTTATTGCTTCTGCTTGAATATTCATAATCTTCACTTTTAGAACAAATATGAGTTGCAAAATACTGATCTTCAGTAGTATGTGGAGACTTGTTTCCTGTTTAATTAACTTCTGGTTATTCCCTGAACTTCCAGGCCAGATACCCTGAAGGTATACCTCTAGTTACTTTATTTGTGCATCCATCAATAATTGAGATGTTGGATGCTTCTGCTGAGGATGCCATAGAACGTGGTAGCTGGTGAGGGACCAAATTTGGCATGTTCTTTTTCCTTTTAATTCGTATATGTGTTTTCTGTTGTGGGTGGTCCTGAAATTGAAGAGGCTAGTGGTTTTGTTTATCTGCATGAATCCCTCTAGGATGCTTGTAGTTCTTTGCCATTCCTGGTATCTCATGTTTGCTTCTTTCTCTTTGGAGCCTGCATATTCCCCCCAAATATTTAAATTTCATATATGATATAAATATTGCCAAAAGGAATCTCCCTGGAGATATGAGGCTGATATAACTAATTGGACAAATCTATCCCTTCATGCAATTATATAGCATGTTATTTAGATGCATAACTTTTTCACTGGCATTTCAATAAGTTATGTCTAAAATTTTGGGTGGGAATTTTCTGACTAGGGTGTGTAGAATTCTAGGCTGCTTTCTCCACTATTGTCTCTGGGGAACAATTTTACTTGTCTTAATTCACTTAATATTATGATTTTTATTTTCTTTTTTCCTGTGCCTTCTACCCGTTTTGTCTTTCTTATGCTTCTGAAAACTTGGTATATTTTTATTGCATGATGCTCATACATCTCTTGAGTTGTTCGGTAGGCTGTAACTTGTTTGTTACTTTCTAATGTAAATTAATGAGTTTTTGGTAAACAGTTCAGATTTCCTTTCCAATTCCTTATATTGTAGGAGTCCATTTACTTGTTAAACTCAGCTGATGCATGGGCCTCTGACTAGCAAGTTGGTAACTGCGGTGAATTTGAGTCACATTTGAGTAACCATGGGTACACTTCTTGGTTGTATTAAGGAATTTTATTGGAATAGTGGTGGATATCTCATTGGGTAGTGCTGTCATCCGGAGGTCTGATCTTTGCCAGTTGTCAGCCAAATATGAATTCCAGATTGACTAAGAGATTGGTTGGATGAGTGGGAATAAGCTGCCCTAAAAACAATCTGCGCAACTGGGTTCATTGTGTTGTCATCTCCTTTCTTTTTGTCCTTGTTTCATCCTTTATGTTGTGAATAGCCGCAAGTCTTTTTTTCGTTCTTTTTTTTTTTCAATCATTAAGTTGCTACGTGCACATGTGAAAATGGAAGTTCTTACGTAAAGTTTCTCTTAAATTGGATTTGTTTGTTTTGTGGACAATATCAAATTGCCGGAAGTTTTTTGCTGATGAGATGTCATACAGGATGGATTCACTTTCTGTTTTACCAGCATCCTTTGGTTCGCAAGACGCATCCAAGATTCTGTCACTTTGTCCGTCTGTTCAAAAGTCTCTTAAGGTGATGTTTTTGCTAGACAGTCAACGGCTTCTATTCTACTCAGTTGACATGCTGGTTTTCTGATTGGTTTGTGCTGTTTTCCAGTCTAGTAAGGCGATTATTCTGGGAGAATCATACATATTTAGCAATGGATTTGTCAAGGTAGAATCAGTGCATCTCTACTAGTTAATTGTCCAGTGGATCTATTAATAATAGAGGTCTGTTAAATCTTATTCGCATGTGCTGAAGGAGGAATTGTTCATGCTCTTCTGCAGATAGATATAGATGAACAAAACTTTGTGCAGATGTATGTTGCTTGTCTGTCAAATTGCATGAATATCTTTTCCTTTTAGTTGTTGTATAGGAAGGTTTTCAACGGCTGCTCTCTGCAATTAAGATGTTGTAAAGAAAGGTTTTGAACAGCTGCTACCTGCAATTAGATTGCAAAGTCCACAGAGCTTAGGCAGACATGATGCGTTGGATGAGTTCTTTGTTGGTTTTTGTTCCCAGCATTTCCAAAGAAGAAATTGCTTTATCTTACATCCCTTCAGACTTGAAACCATCTTGTGTTGTGTGTTTCCTTCTAGAAGAAAAATGAACAGTGTAGCAAATAGATCTCTTGGTAGTTAAAATGTTAGAAACTTTTGACTGGGATTATCTGAACTTAAGTTGATTTGGTTATGCTTTTACTTGTATATGTCCTCTAAACACCTACTATGAACTTTGACATCAATCTTAGTCACGTCTTATATGGTGGCCTCTGTAATTTCTGTTTGGATTTCTTAGTTCTGCATGTTATTTGTTTGTCAGGATCTGTTTGATCACTTGGAAAAAGGGATAGAAACACTAAACCTTCCTGCTTTTGCTAGCACTGGACAATCTGATAATTTGCATGTCATTAAAGATGCTTCCGTTAGACATGATACACTACCTGAGTCAAATGAAACTGGTACTGGAAAACAAGCTGTGGAGAAAGGATCTAAGAAGAAAAAAGGAAAATTCACCGGGAACACCAAAGTGGAGGCAGCTGAAAGTGATCCCGATTACCATGAATTAGCACCTACCAAGTCTAAGAAAAACCAGAAGAAAGGCAAGGCACCAACTTCTTTGCAATTGTCTGATTCAAAATTAGGGCTGAGAAAAGATGATAGGATGGAGGAAAGCCACAATGCTATTTCAGAAGAATGGCTTATTCCGAAGATCATGGCACTGATTCCTGATCTTGAAGAACAAGGTAAGCAAAATATGATGATAAATTTCAATCATCTGATAGGAGATCTGTATGTTAAACCACTGTGACAATGCTTTTGGTTGAAATATGTAGGCATAGGTGATCCTGAGACCATTCTTGTACCTTTAGCGAGCTATCTGAGACCTATGCTTCTCAATTCATTGAAGGAGAGAAGAAAGGCAGCATTTACACAAAATGCACAGCGCATGAAGCGTGTACTTGATAATTTGCAACACAAGATTGATGAGGTAATATCAGCTGTTGCAAATGTTCCCCATTCTCTTAGTATAATCTTTTTTCATGGGAAAAAATAACTGCATGCTCAAGGAAATCAGCAGTTTCTATGGTATGGTTAAGAAATAATTAGGAGGAACTTTTCCCTTTCTCCTGCCTGATTGAACATTCTGCCAATTTGGAGATGGAATAATTTATATGGGTAGGTAATGTTATATAATTTTACCCATTTTCCTTATAAGCTGTCCTTGATAAATGCATATAACATCATATCTTGAACTTTCTTTTTTCTTGCCTCTGTTTTTCTTTTGAAGTAAGGCCAAATTTTTTCTTGACCATATATAGATGTTTTATTAACTTTATTCATCCTTCTGTAAAATTTTCTTTCTTTACTTCCTAAAATAGAATAAATAATGGGTCTAGTGTGCGGAAGCAAGTAAATGGTCTCGAGGGACAATCTATTTGGTCTGTTCCAGGCCAAAGGCCTAGGAATTTTGTTCTGCCATCTGATGATAAATGCTGTAAACTGATCTCCGACTTATCTTCACCTTTGTCTGCTCTCAGTCATTCTTGAACATACAACTGTATGAGAAGGCACTGGATTTGTTTGAAGATGACCCATCAACTTCAGTACGTTTTTGTGGATTTCTTAGCTTTCCTCTTTAGGTATTGTTGTTGTGTGTTCTTCATATTCTTTTCATTTTGATATGTAGGTTCTTTTACATAAACATTTGCTACGAACCACAGCTACCTCCATGGTGGATACTCTACTACTTGACCTGGTAAAAATATCCATCTATACCTTGACTGACCAAACTAGAGTTTAAAATGTTCATGGGGCTAACTCTGTGGGTTTTACTGCCCAGGACATACACAATAAATTGAGAAATGGAATGGAAGTTGAAGAACCCCAAAAGCCCAAAAAATCTGAACCTGCATCACTTAGTCCTGGAGATAGGGCTGCACTTGTAAATCCTGCAACTCATATATTCTACAATTCTTACTAATGATTCTTTTTGTGTTAAGAAACTTATAAAATGTTTGGATTAAGATTTCAACCTTTAATTTTTTTGTAGGCTAAAAGTTTAGCACGACCCCTTTCAGTCAAGGCACTTGCACTGGTTGAAGCCTTGGAGGCTAAGGTAAGGACTATCCTCTTACTCAGAGGCTACTATAACAACAGAAATCCCCACACCACATCCTCCCCCCCCCCCCCCCAAAAAAAAAAGCCTAACATATTCTACTCTTCTCCCAATATTTGGTTGCTTGCGAACTTCTGATACTTCTGAATTTACACAATTACGTTTCACCATGTACTGCTTATCACTTGGGCTTTGACTGGCTGAATCTCCTAGGTGTTGTTATGATCCATCTTGGCTTCTTCTAGTTTGTCCTTTTCCCCTCATTGTTCATAAAGATTATTTCTCTGAAACACCTCTGATAGAACTATTAATGTGACAGCTTGACTTACTTTTATTGTATGTAACAGAGGGTTGAAACTTTTATGACTGCTCTACGTGCAATTGCAGAAGAAAGGTTAGAAGATGCATTTTGTCTATCATATTAATTGCAGTTATCAGAGTGAAATGGAAAGAACCTAATTTCTCTTGGCGGGTTTTGCAGTGGGTTAATTTTGAAGAAGCTTGATAAGAAACTGGAAAGAAGTCTTCTGCATTCGTATCGTAAGGTATGCCTGGATGCATTTCTTGGTTAAGTAGTGATTGTGTTACTAAAGTTGTCTTCAACTAGGGTATGCACAAATGCGGCATGTGCTGAGAATAGTTTCCTGTTTTCACGATTGGGAATTCGGTTGACTTGAATAGTTGGGCTCTATTTTTGTTATATGCCACTGCTCTAAGGGCAGTTGTGGTGTACTAGGCTCCAGCCGCAAATGGGCTTGGAAAGAGTGAGATACATGCAGTCTTAATCTGGCATGTAGAAATGCTGTTTTCATACTTCAAGCTCGTGCTGCCGGCTATGGAGCCATGGTATCATATCCTATGGCTGATTTTTATTTTCCTTAAAATAATGCACATAATAGCATCTTATGTCACAATAAAATTTGATACTTTCTTTTCTATATACTTACCTGCTATTTAAGAAGCAAGCTCCAAATACTGTGAAGTTGAATTTACATTTCCTGATATCTTTCATTATGGGTTAATTGAGCATGGAGACTTAATTCTTGACAGTACTGTTCTCTTTTCGACTCTAATTTTTTTTCCATGTTGATGACCATATGTATCTGTTAGAATTTGTGACATGACGTTTTATTCTAGGATTTGACGTCTCAAATTTCTGATGAAACTGACCCTATTTCCCTTCTACCAAAAGTTGTTTCTCTCCTTTATGTACAGGTCAGACTTTAGTTTCTTTTATTTATTCATAACTTCAAATCAATCTTAATTTAACTGATGCGTGCTTTGCATCTTTATTTTTCTATCTGTAATTGCTTCTCTAAATCATAGATTCATGGAAGAGCTCTCCAAGCTCCAGGAAGGGCAATTTCAATTGCAGTATCTCGACTGAAGGTACAAGCTTATCTCTAGTTGTCCAAGTATCAAATAGATTCTTTGAGTCGTCGTCGTGCAATTTCACCCTACCCCATAATAATTTATCATTTATTCCAATTTAAGGAATAGATGTGTTGATTGAGAGAAAATGCTTAAGGGGCCTGGTCATGCCACATGTAATGATTCCTTGACCTTGATAAATTAAATTAAGCAAAAGATAAATTCCAATAAGTTTCAATACTATGCTGTCAATTAAGCTTTAGCTTCAGCTTTAGTTCTTGGTTGCGAGAGCTCCACTCCAACCAAGTCTTTTATCTCCACTGCATATGCTCCTGGGAATATACTTGCAACAAGTAAATTCTGGAGTGAGTCATGGTTTCAATTTAGCTTCAATTTAGTTTCAATAAGTAATAGTATGCTTTCAATTTAGCTTTAGCTTCAGCTTTAGTTCTTGGTTGCAAGAACTCCACTCCAACCAAGTCTTTTATCTCCACTGCATATGCTTCTGGGAATATACTTGCAATAAGTAAATTCGGGAGTGAGTCATGGTTTTGATTACGGTTTCAGGTGATTCTATCCTTTCAGTAGTAACTTCTTTGTCTTTCCAAGTAATGCCACTTCATGGCTATTTTGGCAGGATAAATTGGATGATCCAGCATTTAAGGTCTTAGCTGATTACCAAGCTGCAACTGTTGCTCTTTTAGCACTCATGTCTGGGACAACTAGCTCTGTGAGTTTTTTCTTTTTCATTTTCTGGTAATTCACTGGAAATATGAGATCATATTTGCAACATTTTGATGCTTCCATCGTCGTTTTACATTTCCTAACAAATTGGTTTCTGTTGTGTTAAAACAATAGTATTTCTTGCATTTGATTGTGAAAGATTTATATCTGTTAACCCTTTGTAATGATTTAGGAGGAAGATTGTACATCTGATAGAATTTTGAGCAAGAGGGAGCTGCTGGAGAATTTGGTGCCTGCATTGAAAGGTTTAGTGCTGGGTACATCACAACCTTGATTGGTGTAAATCAACATGCTAAAGTTTTCTTCGACATGAATGCTAGCAATCCATTTTCTTTCGTGGTACCTTCTCTCTTTCATTTCTGTTTGTGAATACCAAGGCATGCTGTTCTATTCTCGCTTGAAAGATTAGTGTCGCAGTTGGTCTTGAGCAACTTTAGCAATGTGGAATTGCCGTCTGTCCAAATTGCACCCTTCATATTTAAACCATTGATTTTGTTTCCCTCCTTTTTACATTACTCTTTGGCACTAGTCAACCTGGAATGACGAAAGAGATATTGGAATGGTACACTGACTTCAGAAAGGTGACAAAAGTTTTTGACAGTTGATGCCATCTTTGGTAATCAACGGTTGAATGAGAGCATTGTGTTTTATCAATCTCGGTCGGCCGAAACACATGAACTGAAAAGTTGGCTGATATGTAGATTTTTTTCGTTTGCCACATGTATTATGCCTAAACCTATTGATAGCTTAAGCAAGTTCCGTTATGTATATATATAGACCTAAACCCCATGGCACGTCTCTTATCTCTTGCACCATGTCTTCAGAGTGCAGGGCTTTTCTCAACTTCGAGAGAATCTCAATCCATTTTATGTTAGCTCAGGTTAGTAAATCCCAGTAATGAGATTTGAGACCCTAAATAAATTTAATTGTTTATCTTGTTCATCCAATGTGAAAATAATGTCACCCCCAGCATCAACCAGGAGAAAGATTATAGGGCTATTTAGTGGAAAAACTCGGGGTTCTGACTCCAACGAGAACCAAGAATAGACGATGGGTGATTGAGAGCGAGTGTTGTATTCTTTGTCGTTTCTTATTTTCCAATTAGTTTGAAAAAAATAAGCACGAAACTTCAATTGAATTCATGTACTTCTTGTCAAGTGCCAACTCGCATGGATCCGAGATTACAATTTTCCATACACCCTCAAGCTCACTATCGAGCAGATGAAATTTGAAGTCATAGAGCAAAAGCATGTAAGGTGCAGTCTTTATTCCTTTGGTAGTATGATAATTCGATGCAGCAGAGAGAGCCAGGTAAAAGTTTGACTAGAACTTTCAGTAAACATAATTAGTATTTATCCAAAATCAAAATGCATCAAGAAACCTCAATATCAGAGACAAAACATATCTTTCTAAAATCTGAAGCTTGTAAATGAAATGCTTTTCTTTAAAATTTCAGGTAAAGGATACGGAAGTGTTGATACCATAAGGAGACTGGTTCAACAATCCACAGAATGGCCTTACAATAAGTATTAAGGGAGGCTTACCAACTATTCTTCTACAAAGTACAGCAAACAGAAGATTTACACATGAAACTGCACATCATTGTCTACATCACTGTCAATGTTGCGGTAGAGTCGGTCTCTTCTCCAACATTTCATAGTGGAGTACAAAATTATCCTGCATTCAATAGTGTGTGTCAGTTTGATACTACATTTGATGTGAAACTATGGTCAAACATGGCAAATAAATTAGAACGATATTCATGGTATCATACCTTGCGAATCGTCTCCCATGTGTTTGGATCAAAGGAAATATAGGATCCTCTCTCGTATGAATTTGTCTTGACAAGAGGCTCCACGTTAGGAGCCCTTGTAAACCATAATCTAAGTTCTTTGTGAAAGAACCAGCCTCGATTATGCCTGCAAGCATGTATAAACCTACTCTTAGTTTCAAAATACTATCCTTATAACTAGCTAAAAGACCAATTTAGAAACTAAAATCATTTGAAGAACTTAAAAGGGAAAATACTGTTCAAGGTTAGCACCAAAAGAAAAGTGCAACTACTCTACAGGAATGGCTTTTATAACAAGCAAAACCGTACAATTCGTTGGCTGCATACAACTGAGCTTCATCTTTTGGCATGCTGCACAAAAGAAAGAATAGCAGGATGCTGTTTTTAGTATACCAAGAACAAAAATGAATCTTAGCATGGGATTTTTTCAAACGCATGACTCATGGAACAGTAATAAAGTCAAAATGAATAAATAATCTATCTACCTGTAGAATGTGTAGAACAATGTATCTAACTGAAATTTTGCAAAGTAAGCTTGCTGCAGACAACAAAAGAAAGATTAGAGCAAACCAAAAAGGACAAAGGCAGAAGCAATCTAGATAACAATCAATTGATGGCTCACAGTTAGTGGGGGAGGTTGTTTTGCATAGTAACACTGTGGCACAGTGAACTCTGGATCTCCTTTGGCAGGTTCATCAGACCATGGAGAACCAAATGTTTTGTGAAGATTTTCAGTAGAGTTCAAATTCAATCCAAGAGTCGTTAGATCAATTCCAAGTGCAAGAGATGTCAGATCAGGATCGCTCATTCTTATAACACTTAGTAAACCAAGCAAACCAAATGGGTCAGGAGCAGTTGGTGAGGCTTGCATGGACTTCAGTCCTTGATCCCTGTATGGTTGGCTTACAGAAGACAATTGCTGCAGACGGAACTGCGACTGATTCTGGTGCTGTTGGTATTGCTGGATAAGCTGGTCATAAGATCCTATACCAGAAACTGTATTCTGGGAATTAAGAGGCCGTAATCCTATGCCAGGGTGACCACTTGTCTGAAACCCAAAACAGCCATTAAATGTTAGATAATGCATCCACATATAAAACCACATATGAGTTACTTCTTTCACTGCGAATCTCAAATCCATCATAAAGCAATAATTTTATAATCTTCAACTAACTTCAATAGCTTTTTAAAGTAGACAACGCACAAGGAACTCTGTAAGTTTTGATGTACAAAATTACGAAGTATTAGCCAAACAGGAAACTGGAACTCTAAACTAAAAGAGAGACACATTTCGGTTAAGCAAATAACAGAAAGCTCAAACAGGATACTAATGACAACAGTAATAGAGTAGTTCACTGATGCAGTATAGCAGTATGTCGGCATACCTGCTGGTGATAGTTTGAATGGGACGAGGGAAACATATCTGATCCATGCAGATGGAGTAGATCCTGGTTATTTAAATTTGAAAAGGAGACACCACTGCTACTCACAGAGGGAGTATGTTGCTGCTGTTGTGGACGGTGGGATGAGTATGCGGCCCCTAGGTTGAAACCAGCAGATCTTCCCATCTGGAGGTTGAAACATATGAAATATGAGTACAGGACTGAAGCATTGATTCAAATAGCAAGAGATGCTCAAATTTTGGCTGCATTTAACTAACAGAAAATTGCTGAGGTTGCATCAGAGAAACAGCATTGTCATGGACTTGTTCTTTCTGCTGTAGATCCATCCCATAATCTGCATTTCCACCTGATAATAAAATGGTTAAACAAATCAGAATCGGAAAGATAAGTAAAAGATTTGGAGATGTAACTAGATAGACTTTTACTGCAAGCATCAAGTTCTGGACTAGGGGGAATTATGGCCCATGGCTTTACCTAACGCACTTAAGACCTTGACTAGCCCCCAAAGACCTCCCATGTGAAGCCCAAACAAGAGAGAGAGAGGAAACTCAGACAGCAAAGTGAAATCTATTTGCAGTAGCTAAATTTGAAAAAAGCAGTTTCCAGCACCTACCATTTCAAATGTGCAATGTGCTCCATTGGCAAAGGCAAATTAATAGATCATTGTTGGGCTTGGGTTTTATCCCACCAACCTTTTATTTGTTGGGCTTGGGTTTTATCCTAAAAGGTTGGTGGGATAAAACCCAAGCCCAACAAATAAACGGTTGGTGGGATAAAATCCAAGCCCAACAACCATCACATAAAACAACATGTAACATTAAGTATGCTTGAAAAAAAAGAACATTTAAGTATGCTCAAGGTTCACCCTTGAGTACAGGGTCAACATGCAAGCAAACAGGCCAAAGCAATTACAACTTGAATGAAATCTTGTCTTACTCTAGACTCTCTATTCTGTTAAGACTCTTTCAGAAAAACAATAAAAAAGAAAAAAAAAACCTCAAAACTGTTAGCCAGTAAAGACAGAGACATAACACCAAGTGAACTGCAGGAGAGGAGAAGCACTCAAATGGAGCACTAGTTAATTAAAGCAGCATGCTGGCAACATATCGTTGGAGTTACTCCAAAGATATTGTTTATTGTAGTCAAGAATTCTCTTTATCTTACATATATTTACTCAAGCAAAGCAGTAAAATATGAGCATGATGACAAGTAAAACCCACCTGGTTGCATGTTTAACTGACATTATCGTATTAAATGTTAAAAGAGTAAGCACCTTTAAATCCTGGTAAAGCAGGAAAGTCTTCATTTTGAATGCTGAACTCCTGATTTTGTTGAACTATAGGACCAAGACCTTGTTTGCGCAACGATCCTGAAAGGTGTTAAGCTTACTTATATGTTGAGTAGTGCTGAATATGTATCTCAAGAAATTATTGAACCAAAGATTAGGAAATTTAACTACCCAATTGTCCCTGAGGCCCTCCAGCAGAACTAGGGCGGCTGGACAGTTGAGGGAAATCATTAATGTCAAATGGAGAACCATCATTCGAATTTACATCATTCAACATCCCCATTGAATTTAGATTATTCACCGCTTGTACATGGTTTTGAGAAAGTGGGCCACCAGCAGAAGGGTAGGAATTTCCTAGCATAGAAATGACCTGTGGAGAAGCTGAATCCACAAACTGTCAACATAAAATTACACAATATTCATGCATTTGACCTATTATTTGCTCTTTGCCAAGACAATGGTAATTTAATACCAAAATCAAATTCCAAAAACAGTAATCAATCAGATGAGTATCTAACAGCACCACAAAAGTGAGTAATTGCATGATGGCTAGACTATTTTTTTTTGGGGGGGGCGGGGGGGTGGGTGGTTGGTGCGGGGAGGAGAATTACCAAAAGTCTGAATTATTTTCTGGGGAGGAAATGTTTGAAGCTCAAAAAATCTAACCAAAATATTTCCTTCTCTACTTTCTTGTAACTTGAAATATCACAGGTGGCAAACATGGGGTGACCAATGTTCAAGGAACCTTAATTCTTTAAAAGAAAATTCAATTGCATGAACTTGTCCTTGCATTTACAGAGATCCACCAAACTACTAACAGAGAGAAAAAAGATTGCCTGATGTATACTCTCCAAGCATAAAAACTGTTCACAACTAATTTACGCTGTTAAAGCTTATCTATGAAGAGCATTCCCTAATTCTCTGAGGATGAATCAACTACTGAGTTTGAGTAGAATCATCAACTTCTTGCCCCTAAAAGTAGCATAACTACAATGTTGAATATAAGATTTACAAAAAAGCATGATACGGACTCCCAGAAATCAGAATAGGGAAAATCAAGCCAAAATCCAGAAACTGAATGACAGACAAACAAAAGGTGGCCAACGCTTGCTTAATTAAATCACACTTAAGATAATAGAGGAGATACAAACACAAGAAGGAAATATCATATCGAGGTCGTTACCTTGTTGGAGAACACCACTCATTAGCCTATTTGGTCCCTGGACATTTAGATTTCCAGAACCGCTGTTGGCAGTCAAATTCAGGCGAGAAGCAAGACCAGGCATAGACAATCCTCCAGCAGAACTCATACTCCGTCCAATGTTGCCCACACCAACAATGTTACCCACAGAGCTTGTAATTCGTGGCCCAGCATTTCCTAATAATGGAGACACCCCCAATCCAGGGACAGGATTACGATTACCAATAGCTGCAGAAGTTGGGAGAATCCCTGGAATAGAACCACCAACACCATTTGTGCTACTACTGTATCCAGGACTTCCAACGACACTCATGCCACCCCTATTTGTCATCCCTGAATGGCCATGAGAACCGCCATGAGATATCTGGAAGGGGATGAAAGGAACATGAGTCAATACCTAAATTAAATGACTACAAAGTCAATGTGTGCACAATTTAAAATCTTTCTGAGGAAAATATTTATCATATTTCTTCTACCATTTCAACAAAAAATTCAAGTGTATGTCCCAATAACAGTGACCAGTCAACAGATTAGACCCACATCCAGTTAACAGACTCCACATCCTAACCTGACCCAAAACTTTGACAATACTCAAACGAAAGATCTGTATCCAGATCCATCAGACCCAATCAGATTCAGATTCAGGTCAAGCTTTTGATCTTCATATGAAACATATGTATTTATATTTATTAGAACAACTTTTTAAGGTGTCAGCAGAGCACTAATTGCTCGGTTTTAGAAAAAAAGAATCTGGATCTATGTACTAAAAGGATCAAAATAGAATGATAGAACTCCGATCGACGTAACCAATGAACAAAATGGATGTCCATGTAGATATAGATCTGACAACAGCTCAGATCCATAAAACAGGCCTAGACAAGAAATACTAATCTGCCATGCAACTAGAGAGACAGTAACCTGTGAGAGAGCAACCGGAATGTTGTTTGATGTGAAACGTCCGCTAGAGAGGTTACCAGCAGATTGCTGAACCCCGCTTGATGGCACATTACTCATTGTTGTGTTTCTTGAACCAAGTGTGCCAGGAATGTTGGGAACATTAAAACTTCCATGCATATTATGCAGTCCCTGAATACCTCCTATAAGAAAAGAAGTTTGCAAATAAAGAGGATAGGAAAAAAAAATCAATTTTACAATCAAGCAAAGTACTAACCTGTATGATGAAAAACAGGGGAGGCTGCACCGGATTGAGCAGAGAAAGACGTTGTAAACGACCGCCCAGAGCTGTCAGGAATATTTGATGCTGATCCGTTCAACGATGACTGTAAGAAAGCATTATTATTTAGAGAACTTGCAAAGGAAAGAGCCACGTCAAAAGACTCAAAAACACGTGTTGCCTGTCAGCTGTCATTTGTGACACGTAATTGAGAAATTATAATAAATGAGTTACCGAAAGAGAATGCAACAGCACTTTCATCTCTTACAGAAAAAAAGATACTCAGCAATGTGTAGAAAAATTTTTAAACCATTCAGGTTTTGAATGGTTTAAAAATTGTTGTGACTTGATAGTGATGGCAGTCTAAACTAGTTTATTTAGGACTCGTAATACTTGCGCTCCCTAAAAGTGTTTACGAATGTCGTGTAAAGTAACACTCAGACTGCTCCCCAAAGAAAAAAAGTACACTCAGACTTGCAGGCACCAAGTCTAATGCTTTAAAACATATCAACTCATATGTCTATTCTTAGTCAACTGCAAAGGCAAATAGATCTGCTTTTGCATTCAAAAGATTAGGGTAAAAGGTCCGCAAAATTGTAAAGTTCATATCAGAGATACACTCCTACCAATAATTTTTTTTTTATTTCAAATTCCTTTCACAGAAAAACAAGTCAACAGAAGTCCTGAAGTTCTGAATTCATTAGCAAATCAAGTTATTTCAAAATCAAAGGACCAATATATCTCATGTTCAAGTCATTAACAATCCAGTTTATTTAAAGACAACTTTTGGTCAACTCAAGACATTCATATTTAGCTAATTTTTAGGAATATATGGAAGGCTGAAAAAATGCCTAATGCTTCAACAGAAGGTCTCTAAATAACTATATGCTCTTCTAGAGAGAGAACTACAGTTATGCAACAGCTATATGGCTAACTGATATTGATATTGCGCAAATAGAAGTTTCCATTAGGAGGAACAATACATTAAGTAACCCTGACATTGCAGAAATGTCAAAGAGTCATGCGTGAAATTTTTCTTTGCCGAACAGCAGCTTTGCCTTTCCTTTTCTTCGCAAGATTTTGACAGAAAAATTGGATGCCTTTCCAAATTGTAGTTACCTAAAATTAAAAAAGTACAAAATGATTGAAACAGTAGTTAAAAAAAAAAAACTCTGCAACAGTTAACGTATAAAGCGCCAAACAAGGACAGCCAAAAAAGTACATCAAGTATGTCAGCTATTTGAGCTAAATCCACAAATAACAGAACCATCTTCGAAAGGCAAACAAGGAAAGGAAGAGATGATATAACTGAAGTATGGAGCCACAACTACAAAATGAAAGAAATTGAGATACTGGACAACTTTTTTTTTCCTAGCGTAAAATCCTCTCTTCCCGTGACTGAGACTCAAACTCTAGATGACATCAGCAATTGTGTAGCCTACATGTCAAGACATTTTCATCCAGACATTTTTCTTTTTTTCTCAGGAATAGAAAAGGTTTAGCAGTAATCCTGTAGTCCATTCAATCTTTCTCGAAATAAAAAGGATTACAAGTAATATACTGCCCATTCAACTATGACTTGTCTAGGCTACTAAGTTAAGAGTTAAGACCTCAAAATGGCGCATATACCTTCAAATAAATTCAAATTTACAGCAAGCCAGCTTAAACCTTGATCAAGTATTAACATAAATACAATAAGTAAAGTACAAAATTACACTCACTACCAGTTCATTGATTATCAAAAAGAGTAAAGCCACATCAATCAATTCAACTCCACCCTCCCTGCTCCTCCAACCCATAGTAAAAATGGAAAAAAGGAATGGACGATCCAACATACAGAAATTAGTAAGAAAAAACAAAATAAGTCTTCAATTTGTATTAATGCTACTACTAAGACAGTAAAAACCAGTAACTTAAAGCCCGATATACTACTCCATACTATATCATCTCAATTCCTTACATTTGACCTCACAGAAAAAAAAAATAGTAATAATAATAGTGCTCAGAATTTGAAGCTCAAAATATACCTTAAAAAAAAGGCAAAAAAAGGATAAAGAGAGAGGAGTAACCGTTACCGCTAACAAACTGAGGGACGAAGGAACAGATCCGTGTAGTATAAAAAGTAAGACGGAAAAATAAGAGAAATATAAAAAGAGGAGAGAGAAGAATCGGAAGAAGAAGAGGAAGAAGACGACGGGGAGGTCCGAAGATGGATGATGGGCGGATGGGGCGATAACTCGCTTTAATACGCTTGCTTTTTTGAATCAGACCCAAAGAAGCCGAAGACCAATCAAAGCAAAAACTGCTCAATGATAACAAACAAAAAAGCCCAAAAACAAAAAGCACATAATGGATACATGGGCCTGGCTTGTTCTAAAAATCTTTTTTTTGCTGTCTAATTGAGACGAATTTAAGTAGCTTAAATGTTTTTATTGTAAACTTCATTTTTACAAATGAGACTCAAATTTTATTAATTTTTGAATTAATTAATAATACCAACCAAGCAGTTGTATTTCTTTTCACTCGTGTTTGAAGCCCAACATTTTCTAGAGTGCTTATTATAATAATTCAATTGTTGCGTACAAAATGTATGACCTATCTTATTTAGCATATTAAATAGTAATAATATTTTCTTTCCGTCAGTAACACTTGAATTGAAATCCATAAAAAATTTCCCATAATATTTTAGAACATTTTACTTTACACTTGGCTTCTCATTTGTTACTATTTTGTAGTATGTAATTAATTACTTTTTAATAATAACAGAACAAGGTAATAATTAATCACAAAAGATTATAGTGTTTATTCCAAATTAAACCTAGATATCACTTTATAGCTAGGGATAAAAAAGCGTCAACCTTTTTTAGTTTAAGCACGTTCATGATCTTCATAGTAAATATACGGGACATACAAAAATCTAGGCACTAATATCTTCATTCTATTAGAGATTTGGAAGTTGACCTTTCTACTTACCCTCTGGGTTCCCCTATATATTTTCTATCCTAGTCATATACCACATAACACGTTAATGCAGGTCATCCTACAGCTGCTGCTTGATGGTAAAAAGAGAGCTGGCTAATTTAATAGTAGTGATTGGAAGTTTTGTATGCTACTGATCACCATTTTCTAGCATGTTTTATTCTTTGTTTTGAAGTGGAACTCAAATGTCAACAGCAGTTAGAATCTGAAAGTTCCTGGTTTCGAGCTGAATGCTTCCCCGTGCAAGATGCAGAGAAAGCCTTGTCTCTGCAAGAATTCCTTGAGATAATCAGAGAGATCAATGTCAACTTTCGAGAGAGCCTTGTCAGGCTTTGATATCATTATAATAACTCAAGAACGCTTCCAACTTCTTCTTTATGGTACTAATTAATGTTTTTCTTTTTTAATGCTCTTTAGATATCGGGTGGATATAAATATAAAAATGATGTCTGATGAATATTCTATTAAAAATTTCTAATTGCAGCAATCTGAAGAGAGGGTATTTTTGACATTTTATTGTTTCTGCGAATCGAGCTTACACCTTATTAATGGCAAAGGGGTGATTGTAATATGACAATATCTCAGTGTATTATTCTATTTTTTTGATCAAATCTCATGGGAGATAAATTATAATTATAATTGAGCCTAATTTAATTTGTTACATTAAACCCTCAAGCATCTACAAGACGGCCCATTATAAACCGGGGATTAACTTTTCCTTTCGCACCACAGCTTGCCCATTATTTTTTTTTTTGTTTACTCTTGTGGCTAAAACAATATCCTTTCTTTATCTAACCTTTTTTTTTTTTTTTAAATCTGGGTTCATCTTTACGTTTTTGGGTGGCGGAGGCCTGAGGTCTTTAGGAGTTGGAGACGGTTATCGATTTTTGTAGTCTAAATTGACCATGTAAATCTTTATGTGTGCGCTTGCTTAATTTGTTGATTTCCTATGGCTGGATTTGGAGCTTATAAAAGATACTCGTGTACGTCTCTCTTTATCTCCTGATCACAGGTTGATAACATTGTGAGTCCACCAGCAAGGAAATCATCAGACATGCAATATTGGACATCAGCAGACATGCAAAACCCAGATTGCGAAAAGCAACTTTGCGCGTGTGATGCCGTATTCTAGTTGATCGGTCATTGCCTTTTTCTGTGCGGTCTATTCCAGTTGAGGGTTTGGTTGCTGCTGGTTCTTCTTTGAGTTCCATTATGGAAGAATCTACTCTAGATGAGGGCTTGGAATTGGAGTGATGATGGTTCTTCGTCCGATTCTCCCACAGAAGAATCGATACCAGTTGACAGCTCGGTCGCGGCTGATGCTTCTTCCGGTTATTCTGCTGCGGGAGAAGTGCTTTTCTGGGAGAAGAATAATGAAGATTTGTCGTACGGTGCAGGTTTCATTAACATATCTAGTCTATTGGGGAATGCCCTTGTTTTCAATTGGGCTTCAATTGCTGACGTGGCTCGCTTTCATTGGTTGATTGGTGATCGTTCGGCCCGTGGGAATTCTCAATTGATGGTCATCCAGCCCGTTCAGCCCGTGTGAGAATTGGATGCCTGCTGATTGTTGCATTGGTTTTCTTTCTTTCTGACGTATTCTGCCGAGGATGAGACTAATGCATGGCTCGATACATCACAATTTAGAAGGGTTCTCTTTCTCCCTTGTTCATCGCTGTTCTCCGCTACTCTTCTCTCTTTCTCTCTCTCTAAGACCATCTCTCTCTTTTCTTCTTCATTTTCCTCAACCACCCCAGAGCCCTTCTATCTCTCTTATTCTCCATGACCGGCAACATCAGGACCAAAACATATGGTTGGTATTTTTTTTCTTTCCCTCCCTGATTTTCTCTAGCCTTCTATTTTTCTTTTTAGGTTTAGTTGCCTGATCTAATCTAATTCATATTTATTTGTGATATTGCAGGTGAAAATTTTGGAATCTCTTCCAGCATTCTTGTGAGACTCTGTAAGATTTTTTATCCTTTTTTTAAAAATTGTGTTCTAAAACACGTGATTAGTTTTGCTCTTTTTCCCCCCTTTCTTTTGCCTGGTATTCTTCCTTCTCTTGCCATATTTGTATCTCAATTTTGCTCTTGGCCAAAAAGTATTAAAAAGGATTTAACAAATTTGAGAAATTTTTTTGGAACTTTTCCCGATCAAATGCCTTTATAAGAAATTTTTCCTGGTTTCTTTTTGTTCCTAATTTACGTTTTTTTTTATATTTCAAGTCAAAAGTTTATTCATCTCTGCCGCTTCGTTGCTCTCCAGAGCTCCTCTCCTCTCCCCTTCCATTTTTGTTTTCATTTCTTTGTTCCTTTGTTCCTTTTTGTTGTTTTTTATTTGGTCTTTTTTTCTCTGTTTTTCCTTCCCGTTTCCCCCCTCCCCCATTTTTCCCTTTCTTCTCTTTCCTTTTTTCAATTATATGATTCTAATTGATTTTTTTCCCTTGTTAGAATTGGTCTGGATATGAAGCTACTAAACGCATGAGACACAGAAATCATCTTAATTGGTAAGCTCCAATATTTCCCTAAAGTTTTACAGTTTCCTTTATTTAAAAAAGAAAGACATTTTTCCTGCTAAGATTTGTTAATCTTTTGATTAATAACCCAGAGATCTGAAATACTATTCTTCCATCTCCTTCTTTGAGCAAACAAAGAAAGCCGTAGTAAAATCTTCATCCAAAAGCTGTGAAAGTCGGAAGTATTTATAAATCCAGAGATCTGCTATTTTTTATTTTCTTGTTGAGTATGCTTCTGAGTTTGTGTTCTGCCTTCTCTTTTTCTTATGCTTAGATCTTGCAGGTGAAATGTTAGAAATCAGCTTCAGCACCTTAATTAGATTTTGCAAGTTTTCCTTGATTCTTCGCTCTTTGTTCGTACAATTCTACAAAGGTCACTTGTTCTCCCGCTTTTCCGTGAGTGCAGCTGTGGCAATGGCCTCAGGATTTTCTCTCGTAGGTATTTCAACATTTTTTCCCCCATATTTTCTCTTCATCTCTCCAGTTTTTTTCTACACCACCATCTTCCTAAATCTTTTTTCCTCTCATTATTTGAATCATCAGTGAGTTGGATCATCCACCATTATAAAAGAAAAAATATGGAGATCGTTTTCCCTTTAGACTTTTCCTCATCTCCTCAGAAATTGTCATCTTCATTGGTGATTTTTGTGGGTTTTTTCCCCAATACTTGATTGTACTTTCTATGGTGTTGTAGGTGCAAAGGTTGAATATTTACTTCGACTCCAGATTCAGGGTAAGTGTTTTCCATGACTTTCCCTTATCTTTACCTCAATTCATTTTCTCATATGTTTTTACCCTCATCTCTAAGGTTTTTTTTTTTGTTTTTTTCGTATTGCTTTAAGATGGAATAATTTGTCTTCCCTGTAATGTACTGTGCTCTTTATGATGTTTTGGTGAGATAATTTTTTTTTGTTTTCATTTTGGATTTTTTTGCTGTTGCTGTAATTTAGGTTTTTTTTTTATAGAGAGTAGTGAAGTAAGGGATGATAATGTTCTGGATGGTTTAGCAAGTCAAAAAAGTTTGATTTTTTCCATACCCATTTCTAAATAATCAAGAACATTATAATTGTACTTTATTGGATTGAAATATCATATATTTCATAACATTTTGCCGAAGGATTAATAGGGAATGGCTTTGGAAATATGCTTTCAACAATCAATCATATGCATGTAGAAAAATTACTCCACTTCTTTTGTTTGGTTTGAAAAATGAAGTAGTGTATTTTTTGGGTAATACAAGAAGTTTTCTAAAGCAAGACTTATTACTCGAGTTATCACAAGTGAATAGGTGAGAAAGTTGAAGTTTTGATGTTAGCAATCACATCGGGAATGGCGATACATTTGACCATAAACCATTTATGAAAAAAGAAATTTTTTGCTTCCACTGGACTGGAATGCACTTACTTTTACACTTTTTTTTCCTTCATTCTCCCAATTTTTTTGTCTCCTATGTTTCGGAATTTTTTGTCTAAATGTTTTCTTTTAAGCAGAAAAAGTAGAAATAGACTTTTGTGTGTGCATATAGGGGTTTAAAAAGTATATACACTTTTACAGTTAAATAAAAATGAATGGTTTTGTTAGATTGGTTGGTGCAGAATATGATGAAATTGGGAGGGGCATTGCAAGAGTTAATTTAGTTTGAGGGCATTCTCCAGTTATGATTCTGGTACTTGTGTATTTGCCATACTGCCTATCTTTACTGCCTTGAAATTTATCGGGGTTCTATTTATCTCTATTGATAGCAGTTATTGTTTCTCAATAGTTGAAATGTCTTACATTTAGCAGTTAGAGCAGCTGATGCTCTATGCTCAAATTTCCCAGCTCTTGTTTAGTTGTTGCTTGGGATTTTCAAAATAACTTAAATTGTCAATTTTCTTGGTTTCTTTCTCATGTCTCTGCCATTGTCGATTTCCAATGGAATCGAACTTATTTCATCTTTTGATGACTTTAGTTTGAAGTTTTTAATTATAGTTTTGAATAAGTTTCAACTAATTGTGGGAAAGGAAAGTGTCAAAATTTGTTAGATTGGTCGGTAGATGAACACTTTGGCCACAAATGCTGTTATGAAAGGTGTATGTTTACCAAAAACCTATTACTTAGAAGAAAAATATCCCTAGATCTCTTTTCCTTCTTTGACCATATAGTTTTGGATTCATGGGTTGTTCAAATTTTAGCACAATGTCTTTGGCTAAAAACTTGGTGATTATTTTTGCGTACCATTTTATAGCCTTCTTTTTTTCTATTTGTTTCCATTTTGCATATGAACAATTTATTTTTGCTTCTATTATTGTTGTTAACTTTTGGGTTGAATTTTATAGGAGTAATGCTTCGTTTAGTACCCCAATCAGCCTAAGCCCAAGCTTTGGCCTTTTAGCATAGTTTAGCTTTAGAGAGGTAAGCTGTTTACACTTAATTTAGAAAAATATCTTAGTCAAATAGATGTGCTTGTATACTAATAATTAGTTGATGTCTCTGTTGATTATATTTCTGTTGATTATGAGGAAATGATTAAGTTTCTGTTAATTATCGTTTCTGCTATTTAACTTGCGAACCATTTCTTTGTGTTCTTATTTGGCATTAAATTAGATGGATACCGGGCTCTTCATGGTGGAATTAGGTATTAAAATTATCGGCATATAATAAAGCAAATAATGGCCTTCTACTACTTTTAAAGTGCTGATTCTAACCTTTTTTCTTTCACCTTTCGTTTTAATATAACCATCTCTATGAATGGAATTTTTTTTTTTTTACAACAGTGTCTATATTGTGTATATAATAATGTAATGGAAAATTGTTCATTTGTAGTTATTGCATGTTTTATATTGTAATTGAAGATTGTTCGTTTATTCTTTGGCTACACTGGTGCAGTATGTCCTGACCTATGAATTGTACAAAATCCTTTGCCCCATACTTTTGCCTTCAGGGATAATTATATGGAAAAAACTTGTCTGGCATATAGTTAATTGCATAGATAGGCGCTAATGTTGATGTTCCTGTAAGTGAAAAAAGTTAGATTAAAATGGAAGTGACAATGATAAAAGAAAAAAATCTATGATATATTTTTGGAGAATATGGTAATTGTTACTAATATTTAACTGTATGAAGTGGATTATTGCAGTACCACTCAAGAATGCTTCTGCCATTTGATTAACAAAACTACATGTTTATTTATGTGGGAAGCAGAATCGGCCACCCTTGAAGCTTTATCAAGATCAGAGCCTTGAAGCGTATGACCCTGGATACTAGATTTTGCACTAACTGTAGCTATTTGATCTTTGCATTACCTGCTATATATGTATATAAGCTCTTGATGCATTATATCTCACGTGGATGGTGTTATCATAATATTTTTGTTTGGTTTAAAATCTTGTGTAACTGGATGAGTTATTTTGTGCCAAGAGTTTGACCATCCCTTTTGCTACTGATGTATTGAGAGGATAGAATTATGGCCTATATTAATAATCCTCCTCCTTTTTTGGTCAAATGCAATTTATCCCACTAAGGTTGATATGTAAGTACAGTTTCTTTTCATTGGATTTCTTGAAGTTACAGGCTAATGAAAACCTTTTTAGTTATTGTACTACAAAGGAATGCGTTTTTCGGTCTTTGGGTTGTTTTGAAGTGTATGATTCTAATAACAAGGAAAAGGCTTGATGCAATACTACACTGTGCATTTCTTTTTTCTTCTTTTTCTAATATTCCTTTTTGAGCTGGAGCAGCTTTGATATGTAATGAGAACCTCTGGAATGCAGTCTACTGGTCGTAAGTTTCATAAATGTAGCCTTTTACATTATCTCATGTACTTGTCTTTCCTTTTACGGGACTCTAGCTATTGACATGCATCAAATGATCAAGGGCTGAATTACATCGAGGCCTGTGAAACTTTCTTTTTTCTTTTTTTGTGTGTTAAGTAGTTGACCATCCCCTATGCTATTGATGTATTGAGAAGATACATATGCATTGGTAATCCTCCTCTGTTTTTGGTGAAATGCAGTTTATCTCACTACGGTTGATATGTAAACACAATTTCTTTTCTTTTCCGTATATTTCTTGAAGTTACAAGCTAATGAAGCCATTTTGGTTATTGTACTACAAAGTAATGGGTCTTTCTTTGCGGTCTTTGGGTTAATTTGATGCAATTACAAAAATAGTGGATTGGTTGCATCAGAGTCTACAAATAAGGCCAAGGCTTGCTGCAGTACTACACTGCTCTCGTTTTTTTTTTTTTAACTAGAAAGTCATAGATTTTGGTGTACATAAAAAATATAAGGTAGCATTGCACAGTGATATATTATCTTCAAACTAATGACATTGCCATTGCTGTCCAATTATTCAGCATAACAAAAATGACTGTCATTTAGCAATCAGATAGAAACTGTGGCTCTCTTCATTGCTTAATAAAATTACAAAAAATAATCACAAAGATTTGTGTGCACCTTCATGTAACTCTTTATATTGAATATTCTAATTTGAATAATTGAATATTTCTGGGCAAACTTGAAAATTACACCGCGCATCGCGCGGTGTTCCCCTCCTAGTTTAAGTAAAAGACGATCGAGTTCTAATTTTTTGGCCGCCGGGTACGTGATAAATCCCGATGCAGATCTCCCTTGCTAGCTGATTGGAGCACAAAAACTATGTCCTTCGATTTATCCAGAAAGGGCAAGGGCCAGTTGACCAAGTTACACCTAAAGCCCATGCGAAACCTTTCGCATTCTAGCGGAAATTGGTGGCCTTATATTATATATCTGTGTCCATGCTGGGCCACCCTTTCTCTTCGAAAATCTGTCTGATCCCTGCTTTGAGGTTTATGATCCTCGTTACAACTCCTGGCTTTCTCTACCTACCCCTCCTTTCCTAGATCGAAGCAGGAGAAGCACTCTGGTTATGGAAGTACTCGACTCCTACAGGCATTTTGTTAGTATAAAAGATAAACTACATGTCTCGACTAAGCTGGGCTCATTTGCTTTTCCACATGGGAGGCTCGTGTGTTATTTCGTGGGTTCAGACATCTGGACGACATCGAAAATCTGTGTGATCAAGGGACAGGGAAACGCCCTAAGGGCTCTGTGCAAGGAAAAAACCGCCACAGAGGAGGGTGGTCTACTGGCCTTCCATTTGCTTCTGTTGATAAAGCCTTCCTCTATGGTGAGGATATTTTGATTATGCCTTCTGCGTAATTTGCACCCTCTTATGGTTGTCCGAGGGAAAGTTGAGAAAGCTCAATTCTTGTGTGCGATGGAGGGGGGTTCAATACGGGATGATTTGGTTCATCTAGGAGAAGTCGCATTTCTTACCAGTACTACCACCTGGCTCTAAGGCTGTGATAACAAATTACTTCTGATGGTCATGATATTCATTATTTGGGGCCTCAAAATTATGTGGAGATGGGGCGGTAGGAGATTGTTCGGATTCTAAATTCGTGCAATTTATGACCTACATGCATTGTGAGTCTTTTGAAATTGAGCTCTCAACTCAATAGTAGTTCTGTTTCACTGTTGAGGTGAAAAGATTAAACGTGCTTCGAAACATAAAACTTTCAACTCAAATGACGATATACAAAAAGGAAGGATATTTGTGACGACCCAGCCCTCAAAGTTTCGAACTATGCATTTAGGCCCAAGAAATTGTGGAGAATGTCAACTTGAGCCCTCACGAGTTTAACAAATTGGTTTTATGGATCAATTGAACGATAAGAAAAATAAGAGAAGATCCTAAAAATTAAATTAAGTGGAAGGGTCGATTAGGATAAACTCTCAATAAGATGATATGAATCTAGAATTTAGGTGTCGTTTGGTAAAAGGTGATGAAATCAGAAATTGAAATAATTTCAATTCTTGCTGTTTGGGTTACATGTATTAGATTCAAAATCTTGGACTTAATCATTAAAATTTGGAGATTCTCAATCTCCCAACAAAAACTTCAAAAATTGGGGGATTTTGATGGATTCCCAAATTTGACTTAAAAACTTCAAAAAAAAAAAAACATGTCATTTTCATCACTCGATTAGGTCAATCCAACCTGTATGACTGCATCTTATCATCAGATTTCCTCTTTCGTCTTTTCTCTCTCATCCCATCTTCCAAAGCCGGCTTTGATTATCATCCTTTTCTCTCTTTCTTCTCTCTTCACTCTCCCCTCCAACTTTAAGTTTCCATGACAGCAGCTCCATCCTTTCTAGTTCTTTCTCTCTTTTCTTGTCAATCTCTCTCTCACTTTTCCTTTTCTTCTTTTCACTTTCTTTCTCTCTCCTCCAATACTCCATGGCAGCCGCTCCTCTCCATCTAGTTCTCTTTCCTCTTTTTTTTCTTTTTGTGTAAGTATTTCTCTCATCTCTTGTCAGTCGCTCTTCCATGCTCCATAGATTGCAAGGTTGATTGGTAATAGTTAGGTGGTGGTTCAAGAGAATTTGGTGAAACATTTAGTACTTAAGAATTGGGAAGAAGGAAGCGGGAAGAGAAAGAAGAAAAAAATAAAAAATAAGTTGATTCCAAAACCTTATAAATATATACCAAACACTAGTCATTGTAATGATACTCTTAATCAAATTCCATACTGAATTTTTGGACGTGATTCCAATTATAATTCCAATTCCTATACTTGAACCAAGAACCCTTTTAGTATAATTTAAAAGAGTCTAAAGTACGAGGTGTCACGATACTGACCATGTAACGTTACAAAGCCTAGGAAACAGCCTCATGTATGGAAAGGATAACTTGGAAAGCTTACATAGATTACCAAAAGAGAAGAAAAAAGAAAAAAACACTGAAAAGAGGAAAAGATAATAATAACATGAGCCAATCCTCTACACATAATTAGGGAACAGGAGAAAGATAAACTAAGGCTGAGAGAATTGAAGAACGTGAATTATTAGCATAGTTAAGGATTTGCAGCACCGGATTGGGCATTGATAGGCGTTTCTTCCGTTATCTCTGCGTGCTTGTTGGCTCCAGCATTTTGACCTGCATTCATAAAAAGTACTACTGAATAAAGCAAAAGCAATTTATGAAGGCAAACCATAGGCCACAGCTACACCTCACGGAAGATGGAACAAGGGCTAGGCCTGGTGTGAAAAAGAAGCAAAGAGATACTAGTGCAATTAATCTTTCCCCGTTAGGGAGTTAAATAAGGATTAACCTGGTGCTGTAGCCTGTGCAACTGCCTCTGCTGTCTTTGCTTTGTGGCGGAACATTGCGATAGCTCCAACGACAACCCAAAAAACAACAAATACTGAACTTGTGCTCCCAATAATTGCTGGTAGTTTGCTTCTCTTCTTTCTTCTTGTTGTATAGACATAAGGGGTTTCAGAAGTATCTCCAAAACCGGGACTGTTCCCCTCTGGTGTCTGGTAGAACAATGCAGGATTTCCAGTTAAACTGGAAATCAAACAATTGGGATGTCAGAAGAATACTTAATAAATTCAAATTCATTAAAAAGCCTGAGTAATTCCAATGAGTCATTAACATAGCAGTTGACGAGGATTAGAATCAGCTCACTCTGTATTCAACTTCTTGTTCTGCAATATTGAGGCTGGAACTTGTCCACTAAATAAATTATTTGCCAAATTCCTTGAAAGAAATGAGATAATCTGATTACTCATTGTCACAAACAATACCATTGTTAAGCAAGTTTGCCAATTGCACCTCCGTATGTGTATTGTGTATTCACTTACAGTTCTTTTAGATTTGGTAAGGTCCCCAGAAAACTAGGAATGGATCCTGTTAAAAGGTTATTGTCCATATCTCTGCAGAAAATCTCAGAATAAGAAGAGCACAAAATAATTCTACCGTATGAGCTTGCAGAAGACCTTGTTTTACTAACTTACATTGTCTCAAGGGCAACCATTGTACTAAAATCTGGAAGAAATCCAAACAAATTTTGATTGCTAAGATACCTGAAAATGTTATGTTAGATCCAATGAGCAACAAAGTACTGGAAGCAATTGAATTGCGTATACAAATCGATGTTAACTGCTATGATTTACAGTGCTGTTACACGAGGTGAGGCATCATTGCTGCAATCGATCCAAGTCCACTTGGTTGGAAGACAAGGGTCATCAGATCCATCAATCAGTGCCAGAGCTTGGAATTGAAGAACAAGTGCAGCTAACCCTTGTACTGATTGATGGATCGAGCAATAAAAATGTTGCATGAGATAGACGAAGAAAAGGGGAAAAAAAGGAGTAACTTGCATAAAAGAAACTAATGGAAATGCCAACCATCTTTAGGATTTGTTGCGTTGATTGCATCAGCGAGTTTGCGAACATTAGAAACTTTATTCTCCAATGTCCTCCCTGCTAGTTTCATCATTCATGTTACATTGGAATTTAGCATGTAAAGAGAAGAGGATGGAAAGCAGTAAGAAAATATGTATTGTATGCATAAGATTGATAGATTCCATGAGTTTTTACCATCAGATGATCCCAGAAAAAAGCAAACTGCCAAGAGAAGAATAATCACTGAGTGCTCAGCCATGCTTGACAATGTCGGACAACTAAGAACAGATGAATTTAGGAGTTGCATTGGTGGGCTTGGGGTATGCTCGTAATTATGTGTATTCTGAACATTATTAGTTGACAATGAAGTCTTGTTTAAAGTAAATGCCAGAAAGACGTAGACTTTGATTTATGAGAACTGAGAGTCGGTGACAGATAAACAATCTGCAAATCTGACAAGACTCGCCACTTTGCTGGCCAGTTCGCTGACAACATTCCCATGTCTTCACACACATTTTTCTCTTTCAATTATAACATGTACCAAGAGTATACTTTAGTTTTTAACATCTTTCAGCTACATGGGATGTGGGATAAAGATTGGTCTATTTGAAGTTTTTTACATGTATTTCAAATGATTTGTAAACTATATCTGACAACATTACAATGCTTATGTGCCTACATGCAGAGAAATTAATGCATCAAGATCAAATTGATGCATTTACTTTAAATTGACATATTACGAGATTTTTTTTTTCTTTTTCTCAATTTGGTAGCCTCTGAAGCTTTCATCACGAAGAACAGCATGAAAGATTATGGTTAACACATTGTTGGTGGAAAAATAATGCGCTATTACAACTTTTGACAAGTGATCTAGGTGTGACTCAAGGCAAGTCAGGATACTACCAGAGCATCCCTTAAATAGTTAAATATGAACACCGACCAGCGAAGACTGTTCATGAATTTTTCTGCTTCTTCCTAGTTGTCAGGTTCGTCCCCTCTAATCATTCTCTTTGAATTAGTCTTCCTATTGGAGGGATATCAGAATTTAGTCATTTGTGATTAAAAACAAGAATCTTTTCATGAGAAAAGAATTTATGACAACCTCTAGCTCCTTTAGTCCCGGTTGACTTTTTAGAGCTGTTTGCATTTCTAAACATGACATTGAAACAAATAGTCTATAATTTGTTATCCCTCCCTGCACAAGATAATTTTGCCCACCTGATTTGATTCTCGAACTGGGGAAGGAAATTTTCATGGGACATTTAAGAAATGCAAAAATGACATTGGAAACAGTGCAGTAGGAGAAATATTGATGCAACTGTTGAGACAACTTATCGGACCTGTCATTATGCAGAAAGAAGTTCCAATTGAACCCTGGAAAAATAATTCAAATGGAATTCCATTCTCAGGCCTGGTTTTAAGTTCTTCATTATTATTACTAGTATTCTCCGAAGAAGTGCTTTGCTTGTTCACATTCACTTTGAACTAGTCCGTAAGGGCCACACCAATTTCACCGATCACTTGAGGATTTATTCCTGTCCCGTTAAGACGTATTAGCTCCTCCATTTCCATTTTGACCTAGAAAATGCTCAAGACATGATATTAACAAGATGACTAATTAACCGCAGATTTTCTATCTTCATTTTTCAATTTTATCACATGAGTTCGGCTTTTGGTTCATCATCACAGATCAACTTAATTCCCCTTATTTACTTAATTAGGGCCTTTAAAGTAGATGTGATGTCTCTTGTTAGTTGTAGCCAACTGAAAAACGTTTTTTCGTTTATATTGACTTGGCCTCACATACTCACACTTTTACATTTTAAACGATGAAATTTTAATTTTCTATTGCCCTTTCTCAATTTAAACCTTTCATGAGAAAACGGGCCGTTCCTGCCGGTGGACTTTTTGATTTTGAAGGAAAAATGCTGTGCAGAAATTTCGATGGTGTTGCGCTTTTAAATTTTCAGAGACTGAAATAAAGGTCATCGTTTCGAATTCCGCCTGTTACCGTGTAGTGCATCTTGGAACGGAATCTACACTACCGCAGAGAGATTAGTCTGGCATAAATCAGAATACCCTACTTCAGGAAAAAAAAAGGGGTCATTCCAGGACTCGTTATCACTGTCCTCACGACATAGTTTTATCCATCTGATTTTGATGCTTCAAATGATGAAGGAAAAATTCATGGACCACGCAAAAAAGGCAAATGGTACATTGACAGACGTCGAAATCCCTATAAATGTACATGATTTTAGAAAGAATCCAGTTGTAGAAATTGACACAACTATTGGGACAACATTTAGGACTGAACATTATGAAGAAAGAAATTACAATTGAGCTGTAAAAGGGGAAAGGGCCGCCCCGGGGGGGAAAGGAAAATAGATGGCCAAATTCACAAGCGATTCCATTCTCAGGCCTGTTGCGTTGTTCCATTGGTACTGCTAGTATTCTCTGAAAAAGTGCCCTGTTCGTCCACATTCACTTTGAACTCGTTCATAACAGCCATGCCAATTTTACCAATCATTTGAGGATTTATTGCTGCCCCATTGGGCGTATTAGCTCCACCATTTCCATTTTGACCTACACAATTCATATATAAGATATGATATTGACAAACTAGTTAATTAGCATCACATACAAAACAATCATCTTAGATGTATATTGTCTGTGATTGCAGAAACTCTTACCTGCGGAGACTGCAGCAATTGCAGCTGATTTTCGCTTATGATGTAATATAGCAAGAACACCAACTACAGCCCAGATGAGAACGAAAACCGGAACCGTGACTCCAACTACCACAGGTACCTTGCTGCTTTTCTTCTTCTTGCCACCCCTAGAGGACCTGGCTGCCGGACTCCCTGACGTAGCCGTGGGAGCACTTTGGCACGATTTGCCAGAGGTGCACAAGTCAGGATTGCCCGTCACCCTGAGATATTTCAATATCAATAACAGCTTATAAGTGAATGGATAGATAGACGTTTATCCGTCTAACAGAAAACTCTATCTAATCGAACCAAAACTAAGATGAGATTAAATTTTGAGCAAGCTTACACTAAATTTAAGCCGTTCTTCTTTGACAGCGAGGCAGGTATTGGGCCGCTGAACTGGTTATCGCCCAAATTCCTGGAGGAAAATCCAACGGGAAGAAATTGGGTATTGATCGATGAGCAAGTGTGGAAATGAAGGCTTATGACATTCTTTTAAGGCCGGTGAAATATTCATGAATAGTCATTGTAACATGTCTTACAATTGTTTAAGGTTTGGGAATGCGCCAAGAAAATCAGGAATTGGTCCATCCAGGCTGTTATTGTGCAAATCACTGTGATTCAAAGGAAAAAAAATTAAGGAAAACCATTTAAGTTTGCAAGAAGATGAGGAGCAGATGCTAGGTAAATGAAGTCACCAACTAAATTACTAGTATCTCTTAACATAGTTGCTCACATGATCTCGAGACTGCCCATGGAACTAAAGTCTGGAAGGGTCCCTGACAGACCAAAGCTACCTAAATTCCTGCAAAAAGGACGACAACAAAAACAGAAAAAGATTACATTAAGTAATGAGCATATTCGGGGGGAAAAGAAAATAACACGAAATTAATTCTTGCTTTCAGATCTCGACTTTCGAGTAAAGAAAAGGAGAGAGAAGATAGATTACAATGCTGTTATGCGAGGTGTAGCATCACTTGTACAATTGACCCAATCCCATGAATATGGAGCTGGGAGACACGGATCACCGCTCCAATCTTGTAATGCATCAAAAGAATTTTGCAGCGAAGCTAGGCCTTCCACTAAATATTTTTTTAAAATCAGCACTTAATTTGTTCTGTGTAATTTACAAGATTTAACCCACACAATTTCTTATTTAAACCTTACAACCACTTACCATCGTTGCTGTTAGTTCCATCCGTTAGCGCGTCGCTGATGAAAAATACTTCCATGGCATTAATTAGAGGTGGAAGTGTCGAGCCAGCCGTGGATTCCAAGTAAAATGTGGTGTTGGAGGAAACTGTGATGTTGCTAAAATAGATTTCTGAGAAATTGCCATAAGGTGGCAAAATGGGATCGGAGGAAGATTGGTTATTCTTGAAGACTCTAAAGGATCGCTTTTGAGTTGAGTCGAGTTGAGTAACTTCAGAAAAATACATGTTGATGTAAACTGGAACTTCAACAGGAGGAAAACCGGTGCCTAGTTGTATGAATTCAGATACATTGGATGTAGTGACCGCGTTCCTTAACACTTGTTCTGGAGGATTATCTCCTCCTTCAGCATTAACTAGAATGGCATCACTTGCTACAGAAATTAATCCGTTCCCACCGTCCATCGGGTTCCATATTCTGTCATAGGGATCATCTACGTACCTGAAGTTTTTGGTTCATGGAATTGAAATCACAAAAAAGGAGTTAATTTTAAGGACCCAATTTCCACACATAAGATTAGTTAATCATCAACCACCATGCTCACATTATGATTAATCTACAGATTCTCTGTTGAAGATAGATTTTTCTTATTCCTCAAGCTGCTTCCAGATTTATCTTTTGATTAAGAAATTTGGGAATTTGGGAAAAAGAATTTACGTACCTGACGGTTTGGTTCGTACCATAAGCAACCCTCCTCTTCAAAAGCAAAGCATGGTTGATATCAACTTGATTATACATGGTTGAACCCAAGCTACGGAATTCAAGTGCTGAGATGAAGGGAAACTGATCAGGCTTGGTTTGAGCAAGACAAATGCTGGTGCTGTCCCCCTTGACAACGTAAATTACCTCGTAATAAACAACTTGGTCAATCATGGTCTGTACAGTGGCCCAATCGTTCCCATCAAATTGAAGATCAAAAGTAGGAGGGGAAGATTTCTGGTCATAGTTTCCGTAGTAAAAACTTGCACGAACAAGAACTCTTCCGCCCTTGTCAGCTTGGATGGAGTAACAATTCTTTTTTCTGCTAGTGAACACCCTGAGCGTGTCCATAACCTGGGATATGGAGTTGTTAGTCTGCACCGCCTGTGGCAACCCGTTGCTGATGAAGCTATCATCTCCCGTCCAGACTATCGAGTTCTCATCCGTGTAAGTAAGGTCAGATGATCCACAATCAATGCTCTCAAACACTACAAAGTTGGTTTAATTGCAAAGAATTACTTCTGAGAAATTTTTACTAGCTAGTTGAGTTGTTAAACAAACATTGCACCGAAAAGAGGCAATGTTGTATTAGAATTAATACGAGCATCGAGCTTACCATCCGCGGTGACTGAGAAGAAGCAAAGTCCTAAGACGAGAAGCAAAATCAGATGG